ATTGTCAAACAGACTCACGCACACATAGGCATGCACACAGACTAACATACACACACACACACACACACACACACACACACACACACACACTCTATCTGTCAGCATCCACCAGCTCTGCCCCCACAGATGTTGCTCAGTATTTAGGTCAGTTAGTTTGCAGATGGGTGGCCCGCAACGCTTGTATTAGCTTGGGTTTCCAGGAACTGATACAATAGACCAGTCAGCTCTCAGTGGCCACCCCGGAGAGGCCGGAAGTACAGCTCTTTGTAATCATAACGGACAGTGTTCGCTTACGGATACCAAACAGCATTAAGGTCCAGCTAATAACTGTGGCTACAAGATATGGACCGCTGTGAAAATCCAGTGTGCACATGAATAATGCTGCTGTAGCTGTGGAAATAAGATTGCTCATGTGATTATACGCTTCTTATGTTATTACTGTTGTACTATTGTATTGCCACCAGGAACACTGCTGCTACTACGTAAAGTTCAGTATAACTACTGCTAATACTAGCAGTAGCAGTAGTAGTATTTTCAAGTTAAAAGTCTGTGCAAGTTGCTGCTGGTTTCATTTGAGTATATCCCTGGACTTTAAATCCACTGGCCATGCATCAGTTATTTCAGCAATATTTAAGCACTCACTGTTTCACACACAGTATAGGCTCTGTTACTCTGTTACACTGTTACTCTGTTACAGTTTATAAAGATGATAACAACATAATGTGAACATCATGCATATAACTGTGTGTATATATTTAATTAAATAGTCTGGAGTTTTTATTTTGAAAAACAATAAAGGTAATAAAGCTTTTCGTTAAATATTTAAAATTTTTCATTCAGTACTCTCACCTTTTCATTCAACAGTCCAATTGTTCTGATTCCATTTTCTCAGGTTTTCGTCTCTTATTCTCAAGTTTTCTTTAAATATTTTCACGTTTCCATTTGACACTGTCACATTCACTTTCACTCGTTTCTTTTTTATTCTGTGTTCTCAGGTTTTTGTTCAGTCAGTATTCTCATGTTCTTTTTTCCTCAACATTTCATTAACTAACCCTAACATTTCATCCAATATTCTCAGGTTCTCATTCAGTATTGTCAAACTGTAATTTAATATCCTCAGGATTTTGATCAACAAGTTTCAAGTCTCAAGTTTTCATCAATAGTCTCATGGTTTTCTTTCTCATTTAACATTCTTACATTTCCATTCAATTTTTTGAATGTCATTGTAATATTGTCAGGTTTCATTTAAAATACTCAGGTTGCTTTAGTCAGTAATGTCATGTAATATTTCCTGAATGGTAGACCACTGAGTCAGACGGTACATTTGATTATATTGTTTTTAAATTTTATGACTTTAATTTACTTCTTTGGCTTTGCCAAGCGTTTCCACTGACTTACTTGTCCTTCACCCACCTGTCAGTCAGCCAAGGCCGGCGCACAAAGCCTTGATGTAGCTTAAAAGCAGGTTGAAAATAAAAGTTTCTTAAACATCAACAATGTATAAAGGAAAAAAGGCCATTACTCTAAAGTAGAAATGTGTGTCTGTATTTTCAGGGGTGACTCTTTTGTAGTGTTAAACATCAAGAGCAGTTTGAGTGAAAGGGGGGAAATGAGAGAGACAGAGGGAACCAAAGCTTCAAGGCATAATACTGTAATTGGAAAATTGTGCAAATGCGTTTTGGAGTCATGTTATATAAATGGCCAGCAGAGATAGTGCCTGAGATTCGAGGCTTGGCCTAATTGAGAGTAGGAGATGGAGGAGGAGAGGGGTGGTGATGCTGAGGGGGCGAATGAAGTGTGGGTTTTAAATTGGGTGAAGGAAATGTGGATGGAAATGGGATGTTTTCAAAGATGTGGGAGGGAGGGAGGGAGGGAGGGAGGGAGGCAAAGAAAGAGAGGGAGAGCTGTTTCTCTTTAAAGGGGAGGAGGGAAAGAAAGAAAGAGAGGGAATAATTCCCACTTTCTTCCTTGGTCTCCACACCTGTGACCCAGCAGCCAGCCGCATGGGCGGTTTGTGTGTGTGTGTGTAAGTCTCTTAGGTTCTCTCACTCGCTGCATGATTGATGAGTCTCGGTCAGACCTGGATCCCTGCCATAGCCCAGGCCTGATCAGGCATGTTCTGGTCATAACAATGCTATCAATATGTGGCTGACGGCTGCATGTGTGTGTGTGTGCGTGTGTGTGTGTGTGTGTGTGTGTGTGTGTGTGTGTGTGTGTGTATGTGTGTGTGTGAGAGAGAGTATGTGTAATGAAACATAAAAATGAAGCATACCATAACCCAAAAGAACCAAGATGCTTTGGTGGAATTTCCATTTCCTGCCCCTCTGAGGGATTAAAGAGGAACATTGTTTAGATATAGTTCCAGCCATTGATTGGAATTTGAATCACATTAATTAGCCCTTTCATGAACGATCCATATGTTACTCTTTGACTAATGAACTCTCCTTTCATGGTTTTTCTTCTCTCAGTTTCCGTTGCTTTGTGCCATCTCAGGTTTCCTCTGTAGCTCGAAGTCTGACCAAAAATCTGCTTGATATTTGATGAGCAGCATTTGATGAAAGGCATTAGTGGGCCTGCATTATTTATGAATGGCGAGTGATGCATTAACTCATTAAATATGTATATGTACATTACATGAGAAAGAACATGTCCCATAGCATGTCATATTGATTGTGGTGTGAGTTACGAGTCTCCTGCCCGATCCATATGAAAAAACATTAGGTGATGGCACACACCAAAGTCGCTTAAGAGCCATATTGACGGCCTCTCCTTCTTGGTGCGTGGTCACAGTTGAGGATTTGCAGAGTTTGCACTCGCTTGCTTCAACAGAACAAGGGTGGCGTCTGCACATGCAGCAGATTTTGTGTAGGAGTGAAATAACGTGAGGGGAAACTAAGATCCGGAGCCAACTTACACTGCTGAAGGAATCGTACCAGTGTTTTTGAATTCTTTCCCGTATCTCTTTACATCTCCTCTTGACAAAATTTATCTCCCATTCATGGCTTCTTCACAAGTTCCCCCGGCCTCGTGGCCTCGTCAGACCTGAAAACCACTTGCCTTCCAGGCAGGAATGATAAGTAAAATATGCTAATGCACAACCAGTTGGAGATCAGCAGAGGTAAACAGCCACCAGTGCAATGTAAAATGAATTACACAGAAAAAAAAAAAACCACAAGCATTCGTCTTTGCTTCCTCACCTTAAAAGACACTGTGCTCATTTACTTTACATCAGTCTGATAGTAATTACTACAGCAGCGACATGCTATGAATTTATATGCAATATATGCAACTTCTTTCAGCTTAAGAAGAAAGTTCAACATCATTTACCGATTAAGAATGCTAATAAAGGTTGTTCAGTGCCTCAAAAGTGACCCTAAGATAATCTCGTGTCGATGTACTTCTTCTCCACATTACAAACTGAACTGAGAGGGTGGGGTGGGGCTTCCTGGGAGTTTCTTCTCACAATTAGTATTCATGATCATGGATGAAAATGAGTGTAAGTTAAATTGTTCCCAAGCCACCTCAAACTGCTGGCAGCTGTTGCTTTCCCAGGTGACTTGTTTCATCTATAAAGACATGTGAGCCAACATGTTATACAAAAGAAAAGAAAATAAAAAAAATGTGGGCAATTACACATGCTCACAACAAGCGAGAACTCACCAGGGTGTTTTCACTGCAGTTTAAAAAAAAAAAAAAAAAAAAGTACTGGAGTCTAAATATGCAAATGAAGTGAAGTCTCAGCTTGCAAATGCTTAAACGCTGACATGTAAATGGACAAAAATTAATGCAATGAGACTAGACAACCCTTTATCATCATCTAAGCTGCTGAAAAATCTTCTAATATGTCTAGTATTAAAAATTTAAACTCCTAAACTACTGGATAAACGGAACAATTGAATATAAAGATAATATTTAATTTGATAAAGATCTAGCCGATGCATTTTCAAAAAAATTAAGAGTAAAAATGATGCTGTACATGTTGCAGCACAATAATATTTTGTATTTGTAATGATGACTCTGTTGTAGAACAACAGAAGAACCCTGTGGCAAAGAAACGCGCGCGTGTACACACGCACACACACGCACACACACACACACACACACTAAGACAGAGACATACACAGAAAAAGACTCAGTCACACACAGTAGCTCAGTGGGGGGAAGGTTTTAATAAACCCACAGTAACGTGGATCTATGGGGGCGTCTCGGGACCGAGCCAGGAAACCAGATGAACGTACCTGCCCTGGGGCATGGAGAAAAACAGCGAGGGTGGGGGTTGGAGTGAGGGGTGGGGAGTGGGAGGTGGGAGTTGGGCGGGGGGGGGGGCTAGCCAGTGAAGCCACAGGCACATTATGTCTCTCATTGCCCTGACTTTTTCTCTCTCCTGCCATCAGTCTCTTCACTCGCCCACTCCGTCTCTGTTCACATCATCAGCCGTACAGAAGCCATGCCCACAAACACTGCTGCGTTTGTCAGAGAAAATGCCCAATCACTTTAATAACATTTCATGGCATCTCTGCTTTCACCAAGGACTTGGAGTTTGTTCCTCAGTCGGATAAATGCAGACTGTAATTTCAGACAAACGCAATGGAAATGCCGAGTGCAGCCAATCAGATTTAATCATGTATGAAGAAATGTAATTCTGGAGGACACCAGGGCAGAGCGGGTTGATACGGGTATTAGTTACTATGCAAAAAGGCGTGTCCATACTCCCCGAATATGAATTTATGAAGCCTGCTTGCGATTTCAATCTGACTAATGTATCAGAACAAACCCATCTGTGCAGCACTGACCCCTGAGGTGAGGGTTTGGGGGGGGCTGAGAGGGGAAGTGCTGTGAGCGTGGGCGGCTGGTTTATGCTCCCACCATGAACCAAGGTGGTCAGTGAGATGAGAGATAAAATCTTTTACCAACATTCGTCGTAGCAAAGGAAGAAAGAAAGAACCATCACTCCAGCACGAGTTCCATGGGAAAAATTTTATTTATCAATATGCGGTTGTTTCCAAACTGGTGGAACGTTATTTCCATTGTAGCTGGTGCCAATAGGTTACGCTGAGAAGCGGCAAGAAAAGTGAATGGCAAAAAAAAAAAGAAAAAAAGAAATAAAATAACAAAATGACAGTTATGATTCAAACGAAGGGAAACAAATTCAACAGGTTTTGCTTACACATGCACATTGAAAAATAATACTGTGGCTTTGAACAATAGCAGAAATCAACCTACAGTGAGACTCAAACCATGAGCGACCAACATCCTTGTGCTAAATTAGGAAAGGAGGGATGACAAAGGAGAGGGGCGGAGGGAGAGAAAGAGAAGGAGAGAGAGCAACTTTAAAACAAAGGACCGCCTGGGAGATAATGAGTGGTGTAAACCGGATGATTTATTGGCGAGCGCAGTACGGTCACACTCTCATACGTGGCCCCTTTTCTTTTCTTTTTTTTTTCCCCCCTCCTGTACTTTCCCTCTCCCTCTCTCTCTGTCTGCGTCTCTCCGTCTGGCCCAATAGACTTATTAAAACTCAGAAAAGATTAATCTTTGTGGAGCAAAATGTTTTTGTTACATTTCATAATGGAGTGGAAGGTGTAGGTAACTCAAAGGCAGTGGAATAACACAGTCTTCATATGCAGAGTTAAGTGCTGTCTCCAACAGGGAAGGGGCCTTATCATTCATAGTTTCAATGACCTATCCATTTCAAAGCCGCTCGGTGACAAAGCTTCAGTCCTGAACAGTTTCTGAGCAACTAGAATCCTGTTGAATGGCGATGTAAAAACTCTGAACCCCAGTTTTTTTTTTTTGTTTTTTTTTTTTTCCTCTTAACACATGTGGTAACAAAGACTTTTTGACAATACTGGACACTGCAAAAAAAAAAGACAGTTTGTGTGTCCGCTGCAATATTCAGTTTAACTCTAAAAGAAAAGAAAATAAAAACATATTGCAAACAGAGACAAAAATGCAAGGATTCATACAAAACACACTTTAAAAAGACAGCTATTTACAAACATCCTCCATTACAAAAATCTAATTTTAAATTTTTATTATGAGCAGTGTTCAGGTGAAATTACATCTTAAATTGGGCTCTATCCATATATTTACATTTCTGTTATCTCCTCTTAATTTTTTTTTTCTCCCCGAAAATTTGAATAACATTAAGTGGTCACGAGAATGAATGAAAATGAGATATGGTTTGTGGTAATTTGGTAATGACTCCCTTGGCTGGTGTAGGTGAATGGATGCGCACCGATCCGAAACAAAAATATTTGATCTAGATGTGTTTCACAGAGGGCCACAGAGGGCTGCATGCTGAGTTAAAACACAGGACCACAAAAGCACGAGCAGCTGTTTAGGTTGTTAACTCTAAGGTCAACGACACGCAAAAGCCATTGGAGTCTTCCCCGAGTCTTCAAGCTGGGCTGCCTTTTATCTCAGCAGTGTATATCCGTGGATGGCAATAGTTTGTGGCAGCGGATGATAGGTCTCTCTGCTGGTGAATAAACATTCACCGGCAGTCTGACCGTTTGACTGGAGATAAACCTGGACCCGTCAGTCTCTGTGTGTCTGTGCGTGTGTGTGCACGTGCGCATCAAACGTCAGCTCGTGTCTGCGTGTGCTGAGGAATAGCTGTTCTTATCTTCTCTCCTCTCCTCTCACACATCATTAACCGGGACTGCGGCGCTCCGTACTTTGGCAGCCACACTGTTTGGGAGCACCTAGCTCCAGTCCCAAAACAAGTCTGTTCAGCTGCTACACCACAGAGGCATTCACACACACACACACAGAGAGAGAGAGAGAGAGATACTTGAGATGAGAGCGGGAAGACAACTGCTAACATGCATAAACAGCACAAATATAGCAAACACACTTAGAAGCACTCTACACATGTTCATGCACACAAGACAGAGCTCGCAAACACCCACAACCCGGGCACCCCCCGCCACCAACCCAACCCCATTAAAGGCTGGAGTGCTTCGGCCACCGTTGTGCACGTACCGTGCACCACATTCCGAGGCTGCAGTAGACATCCTGTTGGGTCGCCCGCTGCCCTGGCTGTTGTGATAGCTGAGCTGCAGTGTCCTCGCTGGCGGAACACCTTGGAACTGTTGGAAGAAATTCTCACAGGCGCTTTGTTATTTCACAGCACAACTGGTGAGGAGGATGGAAAACATGAATCTAAACTACCCCCGCCTCCCAAAGCGCCCCCACCCCCACCCGCCATCTTCCTCTCAGGTTAAAGCCAAGTCACAGGAACATTTTCTCCTTTATCCGCTGCTCTCTCTCTCTCTCTCTCTCGCTCTCTCTCCTCCCCGGCTGGTGAGTGTGGGCACGGAGATGGCACATAGATTAGTCACACGCTGGCGATGCCACTGACTGCGCACACCACTGACTCATCTACAGATGGCAGCCAATTGGCAATTGGCATCTGACAATACTGTATCCCAATGTTCATCCGTAGCTCGCCATCCAACTTATATATAGGGCATCCTACCTATGTAGGCCAGCCAATCAGTGCCCACCATCCAACCTACACCCATCTCGCCTAGGCAGCAGGCACCAAACTAACTGTTTGATGCTTGCAGTGTAGCACCAAAGGCTAGAACAAACAACTATCAACCTGCCTGCTGTCTTGAAAACTATCTCCCCGAAAGCTCATCAGACACAATAAAAAACCTTCAATCGCTGCCAGCTGGAGCACTAGAAGGGTTTTGTAAGATGTCTGCCTGTCGGCGCGTCAGTCTGTCTGTCTGTCTTGTTTTTGAAGCTCAAGATACAGTAACTTACTGTTCCAGCCCTAAGCCAATAAGTCTGCCCAGATACAAGACAGGTCTGGACATGCCCAAACACACACACACACACACACACACACACACACAAACTAACGCCCTCAGATACACACAAATAGGTCATAAATACCAGAGTAACGGTAAAGCCCATATCAGACCAGTGGAGAAGGGAGTATTCCCGGAAACACACACACACATAAACACACATACACACTTCAACATCAACAGTCCAGGTCAAGGTACTCTCTTGGAAAAATAACGAATGAGCGCAATGGATGACGCGGGTAGTGAGAAGATGGAGTGATAATGATGATCTATTCAACTCTATACATTGTGCACTTGTAGGAAAAGTCTAACAAAATACAACTGCTTTGTGAACTGACTCAGGGTTCGAGGAAATCCTCCATCAAAAATAGTAAGTAAGGCAAACATCAGAGGTGCGAAGGGAGAGGAACACATTATTTCACACACTGTGTCTGATACCTGAGCTATCTGGAGAGTTTCCTGGCCCAGCACCGAGCCCTGACTAACACACACGCGCACACACACATACACACACACACACACACACANGCCAATAGGTTACGCTGAGAAGCGGCAAGAAAAGTGAATGGCAAAAAAAAAAAGAAAAAAAGAAATAAAATAACAAAATGACAGTTATGATTCAAACGAAGGGAAACAAATTCAACAGGTTTTGCTTACACATGCACATTGAAAAATAATACTGTGGCTTTGAACAATAGCAGAAATCAACCTACAGTGAGACTCAAACCATGAGCGACCAACATCCTTGTGCTAAATTAGGAAAGGAGGGATGACAAAGGAGAGGGGCGGAGGGAGAGAAAGAGAAGGAGAGAGAGCAACTTTAAAACAAAGGACCGCCTGGGAGATAATGAGTGGTGTAAACCGGATGATTTATTGGCGAGCGCAGTACGGTCACACTCTCATACGTGGCCCCTTTTCTTTTCTTTTTTTTTTCCCCCCTCCTGTACTTTCCCTCTCCCTCTCTCTCTGTCTGCGTCTCTCCGTCTGGCCCAATAGACTTATTAAAACTCAGAAAAGATTAATCTTTGTGGAGCAAAATGTTTTTGTTACATTTCATAATGGAGTGGAAGGTGTAGGTAACTCAAAGGCAGTGGAATAACACAGTCTTCATATGCAGAGTTAAGTGCTGTCTCCAACAGGGAAGGGGCCTTATCATTCATAGTTTCAATGACCTATCCATTTCAAAGCCGCTCGGTGACAAAGCTTCAGTCCTGAACAGTTTCTGAGCAACTAGAATCCTGTTGAATGGCGATGTAAAAACTCTGAACCCCAGTTTTTTTTTTTTGTTTTTTTTTTTTTCCTCTTAACACATGTGGTAACAAAGACTTTTTGACAATACTGGACACTGCAAAAAAAAAAGACAGTTTGTGTGTCCGCTGCAATATTCAGTTTAACTCTAAAAGAAAAGAAAATAAAAACATATTGCAAACAGAGACAAAAATGCAAGGATTCATACAAAACACACTTTAAAAAGACAGCTATTTACAAACATCCTCCATTACAAAAATCTAATTTTAAATTTTTATTATGAGCAGTGTTCAGGTGAAATTACATCTTAAATTGGGCTCTATCCATATATTTACATTTCTGTTATCTCCTCTTAATTTTTTTTTTCTCCCCGAAAATTTGAATAACATTAAGTGGTCACGAGAATGAATGAAAATGAGATATGGTTTGTGGTAATTTGGTAATGACTCCCTTGGCTGGTGTAGGTGAATGGATGCGCACCGATCCGAAACAAAAATATTTGATCTAGATGTGTTTCACAGAGGGCCACAGAGGGCTGCATGCTGAGTTAAAACACAGGACCACAAAAGCACGAGCAGCTGTTTAGGTTGTTAACTCTAAGGTCAACGACACGCAAAAGCCATTGGAGTCTTCCCCGAGTCTTCAAGCTGGGCTGCCTTTTATCTCAGCAGTGTATATCCGTGGATGGCAATAGTTTGTGGCAGCGGATGATAGGTCTCTCTGCTGGTGAATAAACATTCACCGGCAGTCTGACCGTTTGACTGGAGATAAACCTGGACCCGTCAGTCTCTGTGTGTCTGTGCGTGTGTGTGCACGTGCGCATCAAACGTCAGCTCGTGTCTGCGTGTGCTGAGGAATAGCTGTTCTTATCTTCTCTCCTCTCCTCTCACACATCATTAACCGGGACTGCGGCGCTCCGTACTTTGGCAGCCACACTGTTTGGGAGCACCTAGCTCCAGTCCCAAAACAAGTCTGTTCAGCTGCTACACCACAGAGGCATTCACACACACACACACAGAGAGAGAGAGAGAGAGAGAGAGAGAGAGAGAGTGAGAGAGAGGGAAAAACTGCAAATATAAGCACAAATAAGCAACACATAGAAGCACCTACATGTGCACACAGACAGACTCAAACACCACCCCGCACCCCCCGCCACCACCACCCCACCTAAAGGCGAGCTTCGGTGTGCACACGTGCACACATCCAGCTGCAGTAAATCCTGTCTGGGTGCCGCTGCCCTGGGCTGTGTGATAGCTGAGCTGCAGTGTCCTCGCTGGCTGAACACCTTGACTGTGGAAGAATATTCTGCACAGCATTTTTATTCACAGCACAACTGGTGAGAGGATGGAAAAATGAATGCTAAACTACCCCCCCCCTCCCAACCCCCC